ACGTGTAGATTACAGTTTTCTTGCATACTTACAAGGCCATGGTCCACACGGAAAAACGCCATCTGACAGGGTTTATTTAAAAGGTTAGAAAAAGCAATGAAGGCATCTGCAGTATCCAAGTTCAAGATCAATACAGCTGCTATGAATGACATGCCCTGTACCTGAAGAAAGCAGAAGTGTTACTGTTCAGCAATAACTGTACTCTTCCAAGAATACTGCCTCATTTTGTCCTCATAATCACTAGTTTTTAATGCACTCACTGAGCTGCTGAATTTTGTGAAATGTTCAGAAAGGCAGGATTTTTTAATCCATGTGACCCTTCAGTATTGAATGTTCAGAGCATGGAAGCTAATGATCCTCATGTTGCCTCCTTTCAAAGACTCTAAGTAAAACTCCTAAGACAGGCTAGGATGATAGCACTTTCAAATATGCAGAATAAAGATTTTTTTGAAGAATAAGCTGTTTCTAAACAATTCCTCTCCTCCTGGGTCTGGGAGTATATATGGGTCATATATACTCTTATTTGTGGAAAGGTGGACTAGGATACTAGAGACAAAGCCTGTTCTTTCCTTTTTCAATCAATTACTGGCAGTTAAGAGACAACTGCAATGACTCATTTGACAAGCAGTAAGTTGCATTTTAAGATTAAGCTCATGTTTCATCTACCATAAGCTCACGACGTTGTTGCATTATTCTACAAAGTATGCTACGGAATCAATGCTGAATCTAGGCAGAGCTCGCTCACTCAGAGGGTGTAATGCTGCCATTGCAGAGTCACGTGGACCAGGGTGTGACAGTCCTTCCTGCAAACCTGAGGAACAAGCTCCTTCCCAATACAACAGGTTCCATGCCAAATGAAGCAAACCACCTGATCTGCCCTTCTTCTAGTTTCCCGGCAGTCATGTTCAGCAGTTTTTGCCAAGCATCACATGCTACTCACAGAATAGGAACGTTATCTTTCTACATTTGCCTTCTCTAAAACAACTGCTCCCGAATAAAGAATAAGCTCCTACGCATATCCCTGCTCTGGGAGAAAAGACTAAATGAAGTATCTGAAATTCACTCAGTCCTCTCATAATCACTACTTCAAATACTTTGAGGGAGCTCACGTAGCCTCGGTGGGCATTGCTTTAAAGACTGTTCCAGAAGCCCACAGTGCTAAGGCACAGAAATGCCTATCAAAAGGAGTAAGATACTCAACTCAACAGAATAGTCTCAGTAAGACTGCCATTAAGAACAGTATGTACTTCAAAGGACCAATTTAACTACATCTTTTCTTTTGACTCCAATTTTAAAGCACTACAAATATGTACTTTTGAGTTTTCCAATTACTTAACCTGCTAAAAAGCTTAAATCTAGCAACAGAACCATTATATACACTTCTCAAGCATCTATTGGAAGAGAAGAAAGCACACAGAAACACCACAAGTATTTACAAAATCATTTAATACTGGTCTACAAAGGACTGATTAACAAAATCCTTCCTCCCCCTAGTTCTCCCTCCCCACCCCCGAAAAAAAATTTCTTCACTTACATAGCCTACATCAGGTCTGTAACAAGTATAGGCTCCTAAAATACTGTGCAACGTGTCATGGTAAGGACCACCCTATAATTAAAGAAAAACAAGACAATACATCTGAGTATATAACAACCGTTAAAAACCCTTCAGTGCTACAGACAGTATCTATTACCTGATGAAGGATACATTATTTCCCTATGCAGCTTTGAACAGCCCCAAGTCTTTCAAAATAATTTTAGCTTTAAAAGCATGAAACAGCCCTCCATACCACATTTATTACAAATGCATACAGTTCATCCAATACATCAATTACATATTAAATCCTTATACAAGAGGAATGTAAACCTAAGAGATTCCTTACAGCTTAGCAGCACTTTGACAATAGTGCCAAGAAAGCAGAATACTAATGAGAACTACTTAATTGTCTATTTGACTAGAGGCAGAATTCAACCATGAAGAAAATAATTAAAACAACAACAATATGCTGTAACACACACAGAGCATATCAAGAATTACATGTCTAGCTAAAAAGAATTTCACACTGCTGCCGTATCTTGTACTAAGTACTGTAACTGGCTGAGAATTTCGAAAGGGAAAAGTTCTTCACCCAAAAATGTTGACTTATCACAATCTAAACTTTTTACAAGCTGCTGAAATTTGTGTATAGAAGGACAAAATATCTGGTCAAAATGAGTCATTAAAGCACACCAAAAACATGTAAGTTAAATTGGTCTTGCATGGAACCAAAAAAAGGCCACCAAATCGTGCTTGCTGGAGCCGTGCTCTCTCTCACCGTGTATATACAACCCAGCAGTGTTGATTCACTGACTTGGAAACACTCACCTGCATCACCTCATCAGACAGAAACCAACGTGAACTGCGCTAGATGAATCATGATGATTAGCCAACAGATTGGTTTTTTGCCTCTTCCAAATGTGTAATACCTTGAGGTTACTCTTTTCTAGATTATTTATAGTTTTCAAAAGTCTTGAGGAACTTTTTCCTCTCAAGATGTCTACTCCTTCAGATTTGAACTCAATGGGCTGTTTCAACCAAGGGGCAGAAAAGATTATGTAAACTTAATTTCTCTGCGAAGTCAAGACAAAAGTTAACATTGCTTACTTGCTGGAATATACAGAGATTAGGAAACGTTCTTGAGATATCCAGTTTTATTAACTCCAAGCTTGCTTCTCTGTCAGCTGCAGAAAATCCAGCATCTACAAAAGTCAAAGTTACTGCATTTATTACATGGATCAGTGCACGCTCTTCCCCCCCCACCCCAGGTAAGGGTTAGCTTTTGAACAGTTCACTTATTTTGATGCAAATGCTAGGGAATAAGGGTATAGACAGGACAATTTCTTGAATTCAGCACACAGGCTAAGAAGCAAGCATGTCCTGACTCAAAGCAATCCTACACTGCACACTGACCCTCAACATGTTTCAAAGAGATGGGGGGAAAGACGCAGGACAAGGCAGGCCAGGCATTTTACTGGTATTCGCCAAATCATTAGACAGCCACAAGCCTGTTAACCTGTGACCCCGCGCCCTCAACAAGGCTTCCCAGTGGCTCCTGAAATAGCTCTCTCTGTGGAAAGGTTGTGGTGGGAGGGAGAAGTCCTAAAGCAGAAGCATTTGATGGATGCCACCTATCACTACTACTGCCAGCTCTCCTTCCAAAATCATGTTTATTTACTCTTTGTATGTGTTGTTAAAGATCATGGACACTGCAATACGCTCTCCATAACTGAAACAGATCTCATACAAAGTAAATTTCTAAAGTATTAGTTTTCTTTCTGATATAAAAAAGTTTTATTTGTATTTGGTCTTTGTTCTGGTAAGTATAGTTGGGAATTACCTACTGCTACTTATTAAGCAATCAAAAAACAAGAGCTGTCACTAGCCAATGCTTACACCAATCACATGAGTGTATACGCTCCAGAAAATGAAGTGCAAGAGGAAGCTGGAAAGGTACTAGATGTCATTTTATTTAAGATGCAGACAATCTTAAGAGAATGAAGTAGGGGATTTCCAATCAAAAATATTTTTCTGTTGATAAATGCCAGTATGTATGTTCTCCTTTTTCTGCTCAGCATAATACTTACCAAAGGCAATTTCAAGCATCTGCATGTAGCTTTATACTCTCCCAAAAACAGACAACTCTTCCAATCAATTAGTAAATCTAAAACCACTTAATCTGCAAAAATAAATTGCTGTTCTCTGAAACACACCCAAGAGATGGGCTCAAAGCTGCAATAAGGGACTAAAATGCAATTTTCTGCTATAATTTGAGTTTCAATTCCAAAACTACAGATGCAGAAAAGTATTTTAGTGTTGCAATTCAGATTATAATCCTCAAACTTTCCTAGTTTTCTTACAAATTAGCATCAAATAAGAACTGCACTTAAAGATAGTTTATAAAGAAAAATGAACAAGTGTGTTTTATAAGAGACTAGAGTTTCATTGAGAAGAAAGAAAACAGCTATTTCTTGCTTCCACAAAAAGCAGCTTTCTTTTTACCAGAGGCATCTTTATAGCTGAAATTTTTTGTTCAAAATCTGTGATTTCATTTTAAGAACAATTTTACAAAATCTCTTCTTTTGTAACACAGCATAAATCCTTCACGAAAAGCGTACCTTCACATTCTACTTCAGCCCCTCCTGTGCTAAGCGATCGCCATTTCTCTTTGGCACGAGCCAGGCAAATATCATACAGTTCTGGAAAAAGAAAAACAGAGAAAACCAAGTCCACTATTTGTATATGCTCATGTCCACTGTCAGGTACTAACATAAGAGCAGTGCTGCCCCACTCATTACAAGTAACAGTATCTCTAACACAGTAGTTGAATTTCTAAGTATGTTATGGGTCTGAAAGACTTCTTCCACTGACCCATAACTTAAGTGAAAAGGAAAGGCAATCTAGGCACAAGCTCCATTTTATGTTCAAGCATTTACTTTTCTTGCAGAGCACCGGTGTTCAAAATTATAGTCTGAATGGATAATTGGGATAAGTCTAGAAAATTCCATGTAAGAACTACATCCAAAGTAACTAAGCCAAGCACAGAAAAGCAGCGCAATACAGCAGGTGTACAGGCAGTCTATCACATTTTCATGTTGGAATTAATTACGTATATCAGTCTTTCAGAGCTGTGTTTTCCTGTACTCTAAAGTAACACACTATTTCTATTTTCACAAATACACGCAGAAACAAAAGTACAAATTTTCCCAGCCGTCTTTTAATCTCTCACAAACCTAATGTCTTGCTCTAAATCAAAGGAAGCATGCTATATGCATACTCATAGGCACTATAAAATTAAAAACAATTCTAAGTTTCAAAAAGAAAAAAAAGCTTGAGTGATTAATTCTGACCATTTCCATCTAACATCAAAGCAAGACACAGTGACAGCAATAATCACAAACAATTTACAGCAGCAGTCCTAGAGCACTTACAAGATTAAAAGCCACTGTATTTTTGAACTAAACATGTCAAAGCACCACAAAAAAAAGCATAGCTAGATAACATCTCCTCACACCCTCACCTCAGGTTCTGATACACCACAATAAATAGAAGACAGTCCCCTTACTATTTCTCTTTGTAAGACAATGTAGACAAAACAACAGTCTCACCATGGGTGATGTTTAACTCGTTGCCAATTGCCAAGCTCCAGACTTTGCCTCTCACACTCGGTGGGATGCCCTGCCACCATAGCTCTCGAACTTTACGGGAACAACACCTGTTTAAAATAAAACGGATTATTCTAAGAAATATTTCATTGCCAGCTGAATTGCGAATGTATCCTCCTATCACTGCTGAAGGGATCCAAACCAAAACAAACATAAACAGGCCAAGAAGTCAAATGCGGTTTGCACATACCCATTCGTTAGTACTATTTTGCTTTGAACTGTAAAGGAAAGCTTACTTCCTTCCAAGTTAATGGCTTATTTTGACAGAAGCACTGCCATCACAATATCCGTAATCTGCAACCACGCTTGACCAGCAAAAATCATAGGGGACAGAAATAAACAAATGAAAATGAAATCCACATCTATGCCACTGCCTATGCTAAAGACTGGACAGACTTAAATCTCCATACAAAATTAAATACAGAAACAAGTTATGGAAGTCTATCCTCTCCCCTCTGTCATCACCCTGTTGTGCAAATGAGACATGCAGTTTCCCACCCAGCTTTGCAGCCCTAACCCTCCAGACAAATGCATGAAGATGCAACAAGTAACAACTTTTAGGTGGGAGCATAAAAGACATTTTAACAGAACACAGGCTTTGAAATGGCTGCAGCTGATCAATCTGAGAGTTCAGTTCACCAGTCTGAGAGTCCAGAAGGAGAAATGGAATAGCACCTAAGCACCAATGAAAGTTTGCGGTAGTGACAAAACACAAAACAATCCATTTATCTAAAAGCAGATTCTGAACTAAAATGTAAAATAGTGAATACACTGGGGAATATATTCTGGATTTATAAACCAATACAGGAAAAAGTATCCTTATTTTAACAACAGCCACAACAGATGCATTTTCAAATACTAACGACAGATGTAAATCTGCCATTTGCTTATACTTAATTGACTACTTCAGTTCTCCAGAAATGCATTTTCCAACAAATTCCATCCATATTTTTAACATATATTCTCAGGACAACTGAATTCTATGATTAAGCAAATTGCAATTGTGAGTGCTGTGGAGGTTGGTTTTTGTTGTTGTTGTGGTGGTGGTTATATTCATGGGGGGCTGTTTTTTTTTAAGATGACTAGCAAAGTCCATGAAAAACTAGACAGCGAAGGTAGCTTACCAATTGCCTGTGCTGTGTCTTTGTAGGCAATTGTTTAGCACTTAATATTTTTTTAAAATAACTTTTTCCCTACTTCTCTTTTCCATCACTTGATTATCCCAGCAGGTATACCACTCTGTAATTAAAGAGGCTTCATAATACCATACATGTACTTCAATCTACATCCGATATTATAACATCAACAGCTCAAGTAATCAAGGAAAGCTCATTTCTGGTAAATGCATGGTATTCAAGCATTATCCTTTCTGCTTTTACATTCTCTACCAGAGATCAGTCTTCAGCGTTTCAGTTTCTGAATATCCTGAACCTCCATTAAAGACAAATAATAAGAATTGCATCACTTCCAGCCATCTTGTAGAAATAATGAAACACATGTTGCTCATTTTCTTTGTAGCTGTCCAAAAGCAACTTTCGAACAAAAGCTTCCAGGACCATTTAAAATTATACTTGCTAACTTTGTAACTTCTCTTCAGGATACAAACTCAGCAATTTTAATTAAAACTCAGTATAACATACTGTCTTACATAGTTTCCCAGTTGGGCAAGATTTCATTGTTCCAAGTTAAAACAGCACTGCCGATGCTGTCTTCCAGTTTACAGCGTTCTTCCAGTTGTTTCTTTCTCTTCTGGGCTTCTTTAAGCTCTGCAGAAAAGCAATTTCCTTTTTACATCAATAAAACCAGAAAGCAAATATTCAGAGTTAGCTATTCATGGCCATATAGCCATGTAAAAGCACACTATATTCACCTAAATGTACAGTGGACTGTTCAAATTCTAAATATTTCCCAGACATACAGGAAGCCAAGCAGTGATGCCAAATGTGAATAAAAAAAACAAGCGGAACTCTGCATAAGACTTATTTTCGATGGATGGGACCAAAGGGAGTTGGACAATATATAGTTCCTTTGATCCTTCAAACCTAACCACATTAGTAACTATGAATTAGCATCTCTGACAGCCAACAGCCCCACCTAGTAGGACAGGTCAGAGTATTTCCTAATAAAGCCCAACCCCTTTTTTATGGCAGACTCCAAAATACGGGCTAAAATAATACAAATTTTGTATTTTGTTTTCACTCTTATGTGTCGGTCTTTACACTCTTATGTGTAAATTATGATTTAGATATACTGTCAGGAAATCACAACAGCTATGTTTTTGATGCTACTTAGCATATGGTTAATCTAAACGTCATACATCACAAATATATATATATACCGGAAACCTTCAGTTCATTAAAAAGAAAACATTTTTCATGTTGAGTTTAAACATATTTTACTTTTTTGCATTATCATTGAGTATTTCTTCTTGCATCATCAACTACTATTTTTTCCACAGGCAGAAATGCAATTCCACAGACATGCAATTTAAAAAATGCAGGCAGACACTGTAGCAGCACAGTGGAAATACAGGACACGTGCAAGCACACACACACTGTCTACAATATAGGAAGGTACTGACCTGGCAAGGAAAACTAACTGAAGAACAGCAGTACCATGAACAAGGTCTTTGGAATGAACACAAACAACCTGATGGGTCCACTTCAAAGCCCAACAGAAGCTGTGCCTGAGCAGAACCATACCAACTGCCTCCTAATACTTTCAGCTTTGATACGAGCTCTTTGCAAGCCTGCCTAAATGCAGGCTTTCAATTTTTCTCTAAACAAAAAGAGGGTGTTTGATTTCCTGACCTCTACACAATACATCACTCTACAAAGTTGTTCATCTGGAGTGGCTTTTGGGAAAATGGGTTTGTCAGGGTATTTATCTGGACAGAATTACATACTCCAGTCCAGTGACGACAGCACAAGGATCTGGCCCATTGCCCAACCTGAGCATCATCCCATTTCTCCCAAACCATCTACCTTACATGCAAAGAAAGGACCGAGAAACTCCTTTGGACTACTACACATTAAGTGGATATACTAACATGGAAGTCACATGAAGTTAGAACTTCACTGGTAGGTGTATGATGTTCAAAACCCAAGAGGATACTTTTATTAATATGTCAACTGCAGAAAGCAAGCAAGTCCTGTGTTCAAATCACCTTTCCACTGTTTCATATGGCTCAGGGCTCTGGCCAGTTGGAAAAAAAAAATATTTCCAGTAGCTCTCACTGGACACAAAACTTCTACAAGTCCAGATTTCCTATTATTGCAATGCTTGTTTTTATTAGAAAACCCAGATAGTCAAAAATATCAGCAGAAGGAAACCACAACTGTCAGCTCTACCTGATGTGCATGGTACAGTGTTACTGAGACATTTCTGTGAACAATGTTAGACAAGAAATTATGAGCAAAACCTTGGGAAAGCTGTAAATTTTAAGTGGGAGACAGATTATCAAATGAACATAACTACGTACATTTTCCTACATGGAAAATTATGTATTTATGTACTACAGCCTCAACAGGTTGTTCCCAACTTGAATCTATCAAATATCCCGTAGTTATCTAAATAAGTCTAGTGTTCACTAATTTGACTGATAATCTACTTCAGTATATTAATAAGTTTTTAAATCCACAAACAGATGCCACTCAATTATTTAAGAGTTACAAATTAAAAAATTCCTTCCTGCTGGATTCTAGGATTGTTTTTTTTTTCAGCGTGGCATGGGGCTTTTTAATGAAACTACTGTTGTCCCTCTCTCTTCTCTGGATTGATTCTTCTTTCAGGAGAGGTACAGATCCCTCACGTTACAGAGCAACAGACTGACACAAGTGCATTTCAGGTTTAGAAACACCCCTTAACTTTACTTCTCTCCTCTGAAGACAAGAAATTCCATTACCTCTTTTTTTCGCTTGAACCACCATTTCTTCGTATTGTTGCCTGTGTTTCTGAGCTTCTTCTGCTGGTTTTGCAGGGAGGTTCCTTAAATTTAAAAAATAATAATAATCAGTATTTAAAGTTGGCAAGCCTGTCTAAAGAAAATTCTAGACAGTTCTAAAAGAAAAGCATATACTGTTTCTTGTCAAAATATTTGGTCAAAGAGTGGAGCAACAAATCCTTGGAAAGAAATTTTTTTTTTTTGCCAGAGTCAGCAAAAGAGAAGGAAAGAACACTGACCAGCTACGACTACTTTTATACACAAAATATGCTGAGTAATTTCCTTATGTTTGGTAATTTCAGCATTTTTATTATTAAACCAACTGAACCACAGGCTGATCTTCATAAATAAAGGGAATATACTGGTATATACCAAGCTGGTAGTTTTGATTTAAACTGATCTCTACAGATAAGATACAAGACCATACTCTCTGACTGTGCACCTCATTTAAGAGTTACATCCACAACATTATCCATGCAGAAATGACTCCCTACACCAGTTTCCTTTTCCCCTCTGCTCTCTGAGACCCCCTTTCTATTTTAAAGGCTTAACTCCTCCCCCTCACTTCTACAGCAACAGGTGGCACTGCAATCATCCTCTATATTCTCCATTTATCAATGCCAACACTGTCATTTTGATTTGTGGTTAAAGCCTGGACTGATAACACCTCTGCCATAGAAATACACATACTCATATGTCAGGCCACATTAACTTTAAGCTAATTATATTTGTAAGTAACATAACCACTATGCATCTCATACAACTGCAAGACCACCAAAACATCAGAACACAAAATGACTACATATTTTGTTCTTCTGTATTGTAGAACACTGTATTGTATTCCTAGGACAGTTTATATCTTTGGTTAATAAAAAAGATATGCAAAAATTCCCTTTCACATTACTGTAAGGTGTCACACACAAGGCAGCTGTCACACACAAGGCAGATGCAAGTCACCATTAATAGTAATATGCTTTACTATTTAATCATATTACCTGTAAAGTATGCATAGCCATGTGATACATGCCTATGAATATTTTTTAAAATCAAGATTGTTACAAGAACAAGAAAAATGGATTTTCATTAGCATCATTGTTAACCACAGAGAACAATCTACCCTCTTCCAGTTTCATTTATGTAAATTGACCAGTATCTTTTTTAAATCCAAGTCTTTAGAAATGGTGTAAGTTAAGGAAAGTTTGGAAAGGAAAACCAGATGAAACAATGCAAGTCCTGCTAACTTAAATTCCACTGCTTAAATTACTTGTCCTATCTCTTAACAATATCACCATACATGTGAGATGATGTTTAGTATCTATCTTAGTTTAAAATTAGTATTAAGATTTTTCCAGTTAAAGCGAAAGGGACTACGGCATATTTACTGATTTTTCCTAGAAGGTTTTACCTAACCCCCACAAGTGTGTGCAAAATCAAGAGCAGCCATTTCGGAAAAAATCCCACTGCATTTTTCTTCCAGAAGTCTTAAATCTTTTTGTCATAGGAAATCAAAAAGAAATTACTTAAAGCCTAATAGGTAAAAAAAAAAAAAATAGTATGCAAACTGTAAGTAAACAATTAAAAAAGATTCTTTAGAAAGATTCATCAGAGGACAGCACTGCTGTCCAGAGCAGTTTTCCCTACTAGACAAAAGAATGATGATTCAATTGTCTAGAATCTTAAAAATACCTTTTCTGCTAGGAGTTCCTCAGTCTATCAACAGTAGGAAAGAAAGTAAAATCTGAATGTTATCCTGTAATGTATCACTAATTCAATAAATCTGAGAAGTACAGTATTCAGATAATCTCACATAAAGAATGATTTTAACAGACAGGTTTTAGATACAACAAATAAGCTAGCATGTATTTTTTCCAGCTGTACACAATAAAACCTGCTATAACAAATAATCACTCTTACATTGTTCTAGATGTCCCCAAGAAGTCTTGGCACATAGCCTACCAGTCAAGCCAAATAGTGTCTTAAATGGCCCTACAACTACTTTGATATGAGCATTCTTCACTCAGATTTGTCGATGAAAACACAGACCTATGTTATGCCAGTTCTTTACACCAATGCACAGCTATATTAAAAATACAGACGCCATGCCTGTAAAGCTGGGTACCGTTCATAAATTGATTAAGCATGACTGAATTTGTGTAATTCAGGAGCAAACCATAGTAGAGCAAACCAACAGAGCCAGTAAATCGTTACGGAGTTAGTCTGCATATGCAAGAATCTCCTTGCAGTACAGACGCCTGAAACAACTTATCAAGTACTTGAGAACCTTTAAAATGCAATGCTGAACCCACTGCAGAACAACCATTATATTGTTTCATCATTTATGGAGGTGTGGTCTTTCTCTGTGTAAATAGGACACTGTATCTTTGCTTCTCAACTTCGTAAGCATATACCAGCTTCATTTTTACGCTTACGTTCTGTCAGGGAAAATCCCTTATTCATGTTTAGAAGCTAGAATTACTCAGAACTAGAGCTCTGCTCTCCTAATTATCTCCTTCCATACAAAGCCATTGCTTTTATTATAAAATAAGGTTACTTTTGTTTGAATAATTTTTCTTATAATCATCCAACTTTCATATTCACTAGCCTGAAAAAAATTTCTACTTTAAATTTTAAATCATGTGTAAGTTAGAGTAATCAAATACAAAGAGTAAGAAAAGCTTTGCTAGCCTAATTTTAAAGGGACCCTCACTGTGATACTTCCCAAAACTTACGCTGGCCTGTCCTCTAAAATAAGTGCTGTAGTGGAGAGTGGTTCAAAATCAAGATTCTTCCTCACATTCTGTTTAGGAGAGAGTGGTCTGTGAGCTCGTCCAGCTTTTTCTTCATATTCCTAGAGAAGCAAAAGACAGGGCAAGTTAAAAGAGTGGAGAACACCAAGATGATGCACATGAGAATTTAAACAGGGTCTCCAAGTCTCCAAGATAATCCTTTCACATCTCTGCCCGGCTGCAGTCCCTTTAAAGCTTTCCAACTAGAGCAACCTCTGAATTGAAAACAATGTTAAAAATTATGTTCAGGAGTGAGTTTGATGTTTTTTTCCATTCCTTCTATTTGTAGAAACATCTTAAGGTCCTCTGACTGGCAGCCTGCTTTTACAAAGTACTGCTAAGAATGAGCTTACAAACAGCAGATACTATCAGAGGTATAAAATAAGACCTATTTAAAATATTTTCGTTTTGATTTACATGGTTTTGAAATTGAAGCCAAAAACGATCACAAGCTCCTTGTGTTAAAATCTCATTGTAAGATTTCTCCTACCCAAGCTATTTTCAGATGCAACAGTTCAATGATGGCAAAAAAGAAAGGTTAAAATCATGGTTAGACAGAAGCCCCACACTTGTTGTGACGCCTTGAAGTACAACAATCCTAAATCATAACAGAGCATAATGTATTAACTTATGTTTGTAATATAGGCACTGCCACACCAGAGCAAGACTAGCGAAGAGGCACCAAGACGACTGGGGTCTGGAGCAAGTGACACACTAAGAGAGGTTGAAAAAACTGCGCTTGTTCAGCCTTCAGAGGAGAAGGCTTCATAGGAATCTTTGGTAGACAGCAATAACAGCATGGTGAAGGTTGAGTACGAGTCTCTGAGACACTTTTATAAAGAACATGAAGACAACAGGCACAACCTGCTACAAGGGGAATTCTGGTCTTAGAGGAAAAAAAAAAAAATCACTAGGAAGGTAGTCAAACACTGGGACAAGTTTCCCGAGATGTGGTGGAACCTCTGACCTTGAAGGCATTCAAAGCTTAGATGGATGAGCCCTGGGAACCTGGTCTAAGCAGACTCCGCTCTGAGAGCCAGAGGTCTATCCACCCTTAACTACTGTATCACTATGATCTACATTAGAGGACTTGGCATTACATGCTATTTTTATTTTTCCTACAAACACTGTTTTGGAAGAAAATGTTCCAAAACCATGACCTAATGGGATAAAACAACCTTTACACAACTCCCATCTGCTCCAAAGCTTGAAGTACTATAGCAAACATTAACTATTCAAAGTATCAGTGATACACAAACAACAAACATGGTCAAACAGTCCTACAGAAAAACCAAATCCATATTATAGATACTTTTACATTCAACTTTGTAATGAATTTTGCCACTTCCAAAAACCACTTGCTTTCATGTGTAGCTTGTTTATAACATTTCTATTAAAATTAAAAAAAAAAATTAACTATACTGTGAAAACTAATCATTGTAAGTGAGCACTATGAACAGTGTTCCAGCCACAGACTTTCTCCCCTTAGCACAACCAGCTCCTCAAACGGTACTGATTTCTTTCTCTCAACCTAACCTGACAATTATGTCAAAACTTCCTTGGGCAATAGATCCAATCTTTCCAACACAATCAGAACAGCTTGGATCATTCAGAACTAAAACAAGATCCCTACCACTTCCAGAAAGGCCTTGTCCTCCAACCCCACCTTAAAAAACAAGGATGGATGAAAAACACACATGAATGCAGAGCAACACAGCTGTGGTTTTCTACTCTGTGTCGTACAATTCAATTCTAGTTCAAGCTAGTTCTGTGGGACTCACGGGTGCAGGTCTGTGAAGCTCCCAGCACACAGGAAAACCCTCTTTTTCCTTGTTTGTTAACTGGGCACTGTCTCAACAATTAATTCTATGATGCCTGCATTGCTGTGATGGGAAATAGTGTCATGAATTTGGAATGCCTGGCTCATTAATACCAGTTAATATTGCTATGCATGACATCAGTTTGAAAACAAGGAAAAGAACCAAGAAAAAAGTATTTCAACTACTTAGCTTTGTTTAGTAAAGGGATAGTGCTCATGCTGACAAAGCTGTTCACAAAAAAAAACCCCTCCAGCAAGAAAATAAGCAAAGAAATATAGTAAAAAAGGTATTGTGATCGACAGCATATTCAGAAAGCGAAGACATTTTTCTTGCATTAATAACTCCTTGCAAGCAGCTGATAGAGACCAGTATATGAGTGCACCATCCTAACGAGCTTCAGCTGCACCATGAACTGTTGAGTATATCCACTGTGCTGACAGGAATGAAGAAAATGGCTATTCTTTCTCCCAGTTTCTGTTAGAAGACTGATTTTTTTATTAGCTATTTTTCACAAATTAACATAGTCAAATATTAACCTCTATTACTGCTTCCACAGACAAGGTGAACCTTGTCCCTAAATCTAACATTTTTACTTCTTTGAGACACTACTAGTGAAATAAAAACCATCCGGCATCCACAAGAAACTGCTAATATGCAGAAATCATCATCTGTTGATCTCCCTAAAGCATCACAGAACTTGACATTAAAACACACGCACCAACGCTTATTACAATAGAAGTTCCAGAAAAGCTGCTTAATTTTGGCTTACGAAAATTATTTTCAGGGTCTTCTTTCATTGAAAGCCAACTGCAGAGCAAAATTGCTTTTGGAAGATGAGAAAAACTGTACACACTGGGCTGCAATGGGGATTTTATTCCGTACAGTAGAATTATTTTTGAAATCTCATTCAGCTAAGTTTTCCAGACCAGCACTACACATAACATCTTCCAAGAATTTCTTTGTTAAGGAATGTTTTATTTTGGAATATGGGTGGCTAGTTACAGTATTGGCATATTAGTACAGTTGTTCAAACCTCTTAAAGAGCAAAAGCCCACCCTGCATTTCACCAAGTATCCACTGACATGTTCTACTCAGCACTACCCTACGGTAAAGAAGTCAGACCAGCACAAAAATGGGAGTGGCACATTTTATCAGATTATGAAGTATGAGTCCTTTGTAGTAATTTCATCCTTTTCAGTAGTAGCCAAAAAAGAATAAAAATCTCTGCTAGTGACAGTCATTATCTACAAGACTGTTTGTTAATTAGGGGAAATTAAAAAAACAAACAAAAAAACCCCACTCCAACCCCAAAAAACCCCAAACAAAACAAAATCAAACTAGAAAAACAAAATGTCCAAAACTCACAGAAGACAAAAGCTACTGAAAATGATCTTTTATTCCAGTAGGAAGAGAATGCAATTTGGAACAGAGCACAATGTATGATACAGCAATGAAGCAGACTGAAGCCTCCACAAACTCACATTAAGAGTATCTGCTGACTGAGCAAGTAGAAGTATTTGCACATACAGGCATACTGCAATAGGCTGAAGCACACAATAGCTCATTTTAAGCTTTTTCTGTTGTTTTTTTTTTTTTTTAATTTAAAAACAGACTCAAATCTCTCACAGGTACAAATAATTCAGCATCTATTTAAATCCTATACTGTAATTAGGGGTTACTAACCTGATATGGTTGCAAGTTAATTTTAGGATCAATTTAGAATGAGCTGATCGTTTATGATTCAGAATACATCCTTATCACTGAGATCACTTAGGCTTCCTTCCAGGTTTCGCCTTAACCTATTCAGCATTCAGCCACAATAGCTGAACTAGGGTTTAAAAATGTTCTAAGACAGTGTGCTGTAGACTAACGCACTGATATAAAAAACCCAAACCAACCCAACAAAAAACCCCACAGAAACACACACCCCCAAACCCAGGTTTAATTCTGGGTGGAACCCGACAGCTTTGCAGTTGAGATGCAAGAAGCTCAAGTGGCAGTGATCCTCCACAATTCTTCAAGAGAAGCTAACCTGCAAAGGGATCCTAAACCATCTCTACGAAGAAACACAAATAACCCACCAGAACGCAGGGCAAGTGCTAAAAGATCAAGCGCGCTAACCGGGAGAGGGCTGTGTGAGTTCACACGGAGCCTCCCCGGGGACCAGAGGCACGGCATAATTGAACCCACAAAACACAAACTGCTCTATCAAGGTCATCTTGTTTTGGCCCTGCTTGTTTAAGGTAACCACTCTCCGAGGAAGTCGAATATGAAATATTCACGCTAGGCGACAGAGTGGCAGACACCACGCTGCTCGACTCTTGCTCCATAGCTACAGCCTTGCGCGGGATGGGCGATGGCCGGCCGTAAGCACACCCGTCGGCTCTCACCTAGCAGCCTCCGCGCTGAAACGGCCCCAGCCCCCGGGTGGGCCTGTGCCGCCGGCCGGTCTGTGCCGCCGCCTT